TTTTGGTGGTTTACCTTTTTAGGTGGGATTTCCTTTCTTTCAGTTTAGCTATAGATAAACCTTGAGGATGTGCTTCTCTGCGGCTCCTGCCCCTGAAGCCTTTCGGGCCCTGCCTACACATGCACATGCTGCTGGAGCCACGGGGATGTGCCACCACCGCGTGCTGGCCACAACCCAAAGGGACCGACCTTGGTGTGCCACTGCCCCGTGCTCGGCGGGGTGGCTGTTGCTGGAGCTGCACCTCCAGGGATACTCCAGGGTGGGAATAACTCCAAAACGCAGAGACAACTGCAAAGGGGTGAATTTTCACACCAGGGTATCCCATACCCATAAGTCTGTACTCTCCTCTGCTTGCACCTCAATAAAAGGATGTCAATTTAAGAAAAATTCACCCCATATGCAGCCATACATTACAAAAATCCCTGGTGCATAAGAGGTCTCCAGCAACAGGCCCACTACTGATCTGCAAAATGTGATTTTACCAGAAATACACTTTTATTTACACCATAGTCTAATTCCATACATTAAGAAACTCCTTCCCCACTACAGCCCAGAGCTCTCCATCTGACCTGCTGTATGAGAAGACACTGCAAACCACTGACATAGCCCGAACAGGCTGAAAATTCTAATTCAGGTGCTGTGAGTTAATAAAACTGGGAGGAAAAAAACAAACAAACAAACAAACAAACAAACAAACAAACAAACAAACAAAAAAACACAAAAACCCTGATTTGAAGTAAAGGTTAAAAAAAAAAAAAAAAAAAAAGCAGTATTTACCAGCCCAGCAGACTAAGGGAGGCAAATTCTCTGCAGGAACAACTCCTGAGTCAACTAGAATGAGTGGAATTATGCCAGCAAAGATTTTGGCCCTGTACGTGCATTTCCTAGACAAAGCAAGTGTCTTTGTCACTTTGAGCTAAAAGCATTTTCTAACATGAACACTTTGGGATGCAGTATCTTTGCCAGAATGGAAAAGGCTTCATCTCACTGTGGGTCTTGACCTCTTTGTCTGTCTGTCTTTCTCTTGCTCTTTCTCAAGAAAAAAAAAAAAAAAAAAAACCAAACAACTTAAAGTAAAACAACTTCCTCAAGTCAAGTCTGCCTCCAACAGAATTCATTATTTATTTTTTAAATCCAGAAATGATTTCAGCTTGCACCCCAGGTGGGAAGTTAAAAAGAGGGAACCGATTTGAAAGTTTGTCACAGTAGGCAGAACAGTCGCTTTGCAGCCCCTGCCTGGCTAAGGGTGCACTGCTTCACAGCTACACTGTAAAGTGTTAAAAATCCTCCCTACCCACCCCAGAATATATATATATGTATGTATAAAAAAAAAATCCCCTGTCCACCTCTCAGTACAGAAAAGGACCTCATCACACTGCAAAAATAGCAGTACCCACTTTGGTCAATTAAAACAAACAAAAAAAGCATACATTATTCTTTTTTTTTTTTTTTTCTTTTAAATCTGTGTACTTACCTATAATAACCAATACAGCTAAAAGCACTACCTACATAGGCAAAACTTGGTATTGCATAATTCGTATAAATTTGTATCCCCTCCCCCCAATATTAATTGGAAGATGAAAAACATGAAAGGTTAATAGAAAAAACACCAAAATACTGAAAATATTGCTGGTCGATTACAATTTTTAAGCGGCAACTATACACAGCCATGATATGCTTTATAAATGTGAGATAAAGGTATAACTGTCTAAAAAATCCATGATGTCACACTTTTTTCCTATCTGGCGTACAAAATATTTGTCATAAAAATGGTAAAGATTTAAAATGATAATAAATGCAGCAAAACAAGTGTAGTGATGTCAATTTTTTTGTGTTTTTTTTTTTTTCTTTTTTTGTTTTTTTCCATTTTTTAGATTTCAAGGCAAGGCACGTAATGTGGACATTATATCTTCGTGCAAATTAGGATTACTGGAAAGAGTATTTTAATTATTTTTTAAAGAGACATAGAGGCAAAATGTCTGCCCATGCACATAATATTTCTGTCAATATGTGAAAATTGTTGAACAAGGCTAACTTCTGAAAGCACCATGCAAGTTTTCAGCACCCTGTAATTAGACTTACATTAAGAGTGCATTATTTAAATATAACATATCCCCATCCTGGTATTACCAGTTTGTAAACGGTAAGCTTTGCCCTTGTGACATGGATTTGCCTATGTCTCTATAATGCAGATTTTACAGAAACATGTAAACCCTATGGGTTCTTGATGCAACCAGTAACTTTAAATAAATAAATCCTACCCCTCTGTGGAGGCAGCAGCTAAACCAACATAAGTGCTGTGTTTCCATTTATTTCTTTTTCTCAAGGACATGATTTGTCTTGATTTAATGCCTTTTAATGCCCTCAAAAACTGAGGGGAAAAATAAGTTTGTTCAAAGTCATTTTTATTTCTATTTTTAATCCCCTCAATTTAGAGTCCAAGGGCTGAAGGACTTATAGTGATGACCCCTTAGATATGATTTCTAAATTGCACTTGCCTCTGTAAGTGTTTCTTTAGTGGGGAAAACGTTCACTTTTTTTCCTTTTCTTTTTTACTGTTGCATGAGGAGATAACACTTTTACCTACATAGAGGCATTTATTTCTTCCATAGAGCCTGTGTGTTCATACTGATTGAAAACTTCAAACTGCATAACACACTAGAAAAGGCTGAATTAAGGGCCAAAGTTTAATAAATCCATACTCATAACTAAAGGCTACAGAGCTTATTTTTAAAACATTTAGAAATCAGTGTTGAGAAAATGGCTGGCTCACGGCCCTTGTCCTCCTGCAGCTCCGTTGCTGCTGCCTAGCCTTTGTTTTGTGAGATAACCAGGAATAGTGATCCCATGCGTAAACAACAAGAATACTAAACCAATAAAACTAGCTTATCATGCAAATATTAAGGCATCTAGAAAGTCAGTTAAAATACATTGTCAGAGACAGAACATCTATTTCCCAGCGGACTTCATATAACAAAGGCTACTTAGCAGGGGCTGCACTCTACCCATCAGTGAAATATCATCGACCCTTTGTATGTCATTTCAGTTTCAACCATAAGGGAATTAGTGATTGTAACAGCTGCAATTGCTGGTCTGTTTTTTCTTCTTTCTTCAGTTTCTTTTCTCGTCCAGTCTTCCTTTCCTTTTTTCCTTTTTAAATTTTGTTTGGTTTTTTATTTTTATTATTATTATTTTTTATTTATTTCCTTCAGTTGCTTGTTTCTGCTTGAAGGAAAGGCTCTCCAATTATGTTCAAACCATAATTTGGGACATTTGTCGGCAGGATCGGTGTCCTATTTGATACTTGAAAAGGAACCAAGCTAGCCCAGGTACCAGGACTGTTGAAAAGGGGAAGAGATAAGGAGAGAGAGGGAGAGAGAGAAAAAAAAAAAAAACAAAAAACAAAACAAAACAAAACAAAAGACAAATTAAGCATATTGCAAAACCTAGAACACAATGAATTTGAATCAAGGTTAATCCAATATTCATTATTAACAGCACTATTTAAGATAAAATAAGAAAACAAATTTGTGAATATTACTTGAAATTATATTCGGTTTTCTTTGTGAAAGTATGACCTCTTTGAAAAAAAAAAAAAATGTGTTGATCTCAGCTGCAAGTAGTATTACTGCTGTTTTACACTGTCTGTTTGTTTATGAAAGACCCCAAAAAATTTCAGACGGAACTATACAATACAAGTGACACTATATGGCACCACGGATGTTATTTAAGAGCTACTGAAATACACTACAGTGTACAAGTTTGCTCTTTTCAAGAACACAGTATAAAGGCTCAGTGGTTAATCTTCTTCTGTGACTTCCTACCCTCTTACAGCCCAGGAGTTTATCCTGTCTCAGCCCCAAGATGGGCCTCTGAGGTGTGTGGGTCCCAATGAGAACAGAGGACCTTTAATATTCAAAAAACCTGCTTTCTTTTCAGATTTCTCAAAAAAAAAACGTATCAGTGCCTAAGGAAAAGTGGATGACACCGGGCCCAATCATGTAAACACCTGCATCCAAATGTATTCATGAGTCAAGGGTAGCAGTGAGTATCATAAATTTTCCAGAAAACATCTGAGAAAGAAAATGTTTTCAAAGACAATTAAATGACTTTGGAACTTAGGTCATCATTTCAAAAGCACTATGTCACTGAGGAGCTTAAGTGCCAATGGCATTCACATGTTTCCCAGGCACCAACTAGTAGTAAGTACCACACCAAACAGTATTTGCAGGATGGATACTCAGAGAAAGACCTCAGCTGCCTCTATTCAGTACCCAGAGCAGACTCTGAGCAGCCTTTTCCTCAGATGTGTTTCTGGCAACCCAGAAACAATGGACTTCAGAGAAAGTCTTGTCAAATTTATTCAGAAGAAAAGCAGCATCATTATGTCAGCAATCATTGCCAAACAACTAATAGCAGAACTGGACACACAGCATGCAAACCAATGCTTCCTCTGCATTTCAATGTATCAGGTTTTTTTCCACACTAGGTGTTTCCACAAACACAACAGCTTACTTGGAAATACACATTGGGATTAGACTGATAAAATTCATGGTAACACATCTGAAGACTAAAACCTCCAACACAGGTTTTGTGGAGGACAGATGCTGGAATTTTTCTTCCCTATCTTTGGTCACCCCAGAAGTTCATACGATCAAACTTTCTGTTTTACACCCAAAAAAAAGTGGAAAAAAATGTTGACCCAAATTTGTTTGTCTCAATGATGGTCAAATTCTGAAAGGAGTAGGACTATTTTTTTGTCCTCAAAGAAATATGACAAATATTAATATGCTAATGTATTTTAAATGCCTGAAGTACAATTATTATTCAAGAGGGTGGGGTTATTTCCAATTGGGTATATTCTTGAAGGTCACATGAAAATCTGGGAAATTTTACCCTCTTCAGAAATTAAAAAAGTCTTGCTATATTTTCAAAATTTAAGATGCTAATATGTTTAATTGAATATTTTTTCTTTTTTTTAAATTCTATTGACTATTGCAAATAAAATAAATTCTGTTGTTGGAGAAATAACCCCTTCTGAAATTAAAAAATCACAGTTACACTGCAAATCTTGAAATAGTCACAAAGACTTAAACCCAATTATGCATGGAAGATTGGTCCCATATGATGTAATGAAAATATTATGTTTCAAAAAAAAAAAAAATTCAATACCAAAACCCCATTTCAGAGGCTTAATTGTTCCAACTCATTCTTCAGCTTCCTTCACAATTTGTTTTAAAATATATTTTTTATTCCTTCCTCTTCAGATTTCTGTAATGTTAGGAAGTAAATTTTGAAATAACAGATACAATGTCAATAATGTCCAAGCATTGGGATTTGTAAAAATAGGAACTAGTAATAAAAAAATAGAAATAAAATAACCGAGCAGATTTGTTTGCTCAGGTTCTGTCTGAATATATGTTTTACAGTACACAGTTCTTTGCTGTCCTGTTACATGTGATTTACAGTGTTTAGCGACTTTAAACAAAACACAACACTAATTAAAAGAACATAAATTTTGTGTGAGGCTAACATGGCATTTAAACAATTTCTGTTGCAAAGGCTAAATGCACAGCTTCCAGGGTGAGACCCTGGCACAGGTTGCCCAGAGAACCTGTGGCTGCCCCGTCCCTGGGAGGGTTCAAGGCCAGGTTGGATGGGGCTTTGAGCAACCTGGTCTAGTGGAAGGTGTCCCTGCCCGTGGCAGAGGGGTTCTCTAAGGTCCCTTCCAACTCAAACCATTCTGTGATTGTATGATTATCTTTCAGCAGATTTACAGTGCACTTCAGTGGTTGGGTAAGCATGTATGTGACTTTTTTCTCTGTCTTAAAGTTAACAAACGTCTAATGACTACAGTGGGTGAAGGAAAGCAATCAGTGAGGACAAAGAATAAATTATTTTTTGTCACTGATAAGCTTTCTTATCTACTGCTTCATATAGAAGACAGAGATCTTGGTTTTGTGGGAAGTACTCAATAAAAATAAGTTGTAGCAAGTGACTAATAGGACTGTTCTTTCCATATGACCTACAAATTTAATATAGGTGTTCATTTAAACCTTTCAAGCCTCCTAACTTACATTACGACCATGACCAAAATGTGGATTGCAACAAATTCATCACTGCTGCTTATGAATCCTTGGGGAGTAATAAATCTCCCACGTTAACAGTGTGCAGGTCCCACAGGAGTTTTGGAAGCGTCTTTTGCTGCTTGCACAGAGTGAGACAGTGGTGCAAGCAATGGAGCAGCCATGGCACCAGGACAGCCACATGTCGTCTGTGTGCAGTGGCTGGAAAAGCTATCGCTCTGACACCCCCGAAGGCAGGCTGAAGTCCTAGATCTACACGCACCCACTGGGCAGCGGCTGGCCCTGCTGGCAGCCGGTAAGGACAGGCCATCCGGTCTGTTGGCTAGCACTTCATAAGCCATGATCTTCAAGGCTTGACAAGCTCCAGTTATATTTTAGAAATTAAACTTATCATACTGCAGTTGGATGTAACTCTTATCTTGGGCCACCCAAGTCCTGACACCACCACCAGCTGATTACTGCACACAAAAGAGGAAACCTGAATGAAAGTTACGGAAGTGAATAGCCCTAATAACAGCACAAAGCTCTGAGAAGAGCTATGATACAAAGAATAATAAAAAAAAAAAAAAAATCAAGTTCTGCTAAAGTGAGTATGTATGGCTGCCTATCCAACATTCCCACACACCCCATTATATTTACGGTAAATTTAATTGAACTTTCAGCTACCATATGAGCCACATCCTGCTTTGTAGCTCCCCAGTGTTCCTGCATGCAGTCAAGCCAGACAGCCCAGAAGAGCAAGGTCCCCCATCAGTTTTCCCAAACCTGCTCTGATGGGAACTCTGTAAGCATCGCTGAGTTTAGCTTCTGCCATGGAAGCCATCTACAGTTTCTCTGTCAAGCGACCTAGAAGAAGTGCTGCTTACTGCTGACTGCAAAGTAAACCCTGCCTAGGGACCCACATGGGTGGCAACAGCAGGAAAGGGGAAAACACCTTTCCCTTCACCACACTATCCAGAAGTTTGCATTAAGTCCCAGGCAAACTTCCAGCCTTCGATTTCACAAAAGCAGAGGCAGTGCTCTCTGTTCACTAAGTTCATGGGGGAAGGACACAGGCAAGCTGATTGCCCTTGCAGAAGTTAATGAGACGTCCCTCTGCCCACCCAGCTGTTCCTTCGGATAAAAAAAAGCTTTGTATATATGAGGGAACAAAGCAGGTCTACCCCACCCTCCAGCTCACTACTCCTGAGCAAATCTGTGAGCCCTGGGCTGACAGAGGTTATAAATGTCTGTCCCTTGAAATATGTAGTGAGATCTCAAAAAAAAAAACAAAAAAAAAAACAAAAAAAAAAAAAAAAAAAAACCAAAAAAAAAAAAAAATAAAAACTGCTCCAGGCTAAGTTTTGAAGAAAATTACATGGGAAGCACCATCAAATATTGTTGTGAAATTCAGACTAGTAGCTTTTTTTAGAGAGTATGGTTTGCAGGACCACCTTCCTGAAACATTATACCTCTGTAATTTCACTACCAGAAACAGTTTTTTCTCACAATAACTAGACTATCAGGTGTGTTATACAGCCATCAGTTCTTTCTCTATCCATGGCAAGTATAATGTATTTATCTGACCAAATGTAATAAAAATAGCAAAGGAAAATTCTGCAAGTATCTTACAGGGTTAACATTCTCCATTACAGTTTCCATTCTAGTTTTCACGTTAATTCAATCAAGATTTCTGCTGTGATTTCCTCTTAAAGATAATAATTGCTGTTTCAAGAACCTCTGATTAAAATATTACTGGAATGGACCACAAGCAGTACTAACATTATATGTATATACAGTCTGCTTTGGAGGTTATAATAACATAAAGAGTATAATGATGTTAAATAAATAACTAAATGCAATAAAAAATAAATCCAATCAGACCTGAGTAAATCTGAAGGCTTTTAAGATTCTTATTTTCCACCAGTTACTATTTTCTTTCTATTACAGCTTCAGAAGTCTGTAAGAGTATTTCATCGTTTGGAAAGTACATCTAAAACAGTATTTCCTTCTTGCAGCTTTACTACCCTGTGCATGAACACACTAGCTTATACAAGGTAGATCAGATCATGACAGGTCAGTCTTTGGACAGAAAAGGTAGAAATGCCTTCAGTGTCAAAAGAAGTGGCACTAGCAAGTCACCAAACATGGTTTGTCTATGTCTGTACTAAGCAAGCGCTTGCGCACACAAGTACAGAGAACTTTATCCTATCAATTTGTTAAGATCATATGAACTTTGGAAATGCAGTTGCACTAACCTCAGTGCCCTGGCT